GCCAAATGTCCTACCGACATGCAAGATTGTTTAATAATATTGTTTAGTACTCGCCCGTGGAAGATACTGCTGTGTAATATTTTTACGGCAATATTACAGTAGTGTAATACCGCTCTAGGTATGACGTACAAATGGTTTACAGTTATGACGTCAGAATACTAATACCTCTGTCACAATGGTATTAAGCCTTGCTTGACCTGCGGAAAGCTGAGAGTCCTCACATTGTAGGTAGTTCCTATCAATTCTGTGAAATACCATTTTTATTTAACTCGTGAAAGATTTGCAGAAGTATTACACGGAAGGTCGTTTAGTATCCTCTATATACTGTACATTACAGTATAGTCCCCGGAAAGTAATAAAGGTTCTGTTCTGTTCTATTCGTGCACCTGCTGTACCGGATTGTACAGCATTTAGACAACCCTTGAAATGCTCACGTTCCTGATGAGTGAGTGAGTTTAGTTTTACGTCGCACTCAGCAATATTACAGCCATATGGCGTCGGTCTGTAAATAATCGAGTCTAAACCTGATGAGTCGTGGCATATTGGGTTCTTTCTATATGATATTTTGATGCGTTTTCCGTTATAGAAATGTCTGTGTGCTTTCATTCCAATGTAGGTGTAGGTGATCACGTTTTATGACCAAAGGCATGTACATGTTCAAAGAACAGCAATGTTAGTATGCTCAGGCCGGGATAATCGGCATAACAGGTACAAATATACAGGAATTCATACACAGGATGACAAAATTCTTGACAGCTTTATAAATTAGTTCTTTACCATAGAGGAGTATATCCCTAAATCATACCATACGACATTTGATAGAGTCAATTAGCGGTAGGCTTCCAAATTCTCCATATAGCATGCATAATGGCGTGCTTCTCTTTTCGGGGAGTAATTTGCGTAAAAGGTTAACATGAACAGATTCAATAGCTTTATAGTTTATAGTTTTCAAAACCCAAACCATATATCAGAATAACCATTGCATCAAAGGGATACAACTGATATTTTATTGACAGATTAAAGATTCGACTTATAAGTAGCACGACATACATTGGCTGATTGGCACATTCTTTAATAGAGGTTTTTAAAGAATTATTGTTTAGAATACCAAAATATTTATAATCATTGACATGTTCGACGAGCCATTTAATAGCATATGTTCACTCGTATCTCATTTTGTACTGCCAAAACTTGTATATTTTTTTTGCTAGTGTTGATGACTAATTTCCACGTTTACAATAAAGAATAAATGCGTCAAACACGTTTTGCAAATTTTGGTGGTTGAAAGATAATAATACTGAAGTAATAAGGAATGAAGTAGCGCGATTAATACAAAAGACATATATATGTAAGAGTCCGTCGAGTGACTTCTACTCCACAGAAAGATTAGGGCAATGTTTGGGAATGTAAAGGCGGTTCCAAGTCTTGAGAATAAGGCAGGGAAAATGTTCAGGGTATACACCATTTGAGCACACACGTTAATAAATAAAATCGCGCATGTCAACTATAGTTCGATTGAGTTGCCATCAGTGCTTTGCGCCAAACATTGTCAAAAGCTTTGAATTCTGAAAATCAATAAAACCACAATACATTTTAGGTTTCTCTTTTTAGGTGAATCAATAATAGCATAAAGGCTAAAAATATTGTCATTCGTGGAGTAGCCGTGCCTACAACCTGCTCGTGATTCTGATAAAATATTATTCCTTCAACAAAGTCGTTTAATCTTTCGTTGAGAACTGAAGTGAATAATTTTCCACAGTAACTTATAACACTTCTGGGCCGGAAATGTCAAGGGTCATCTGTATTTCCTTTTCCTTTGTAGACAGGGCGGTTAATACCATTCAATCATTGTTTAGGAAAAATCCCAGTATCAAATATTAGATTCATACTCTAACATACAAAGGTTAAAAAGCCGGCACAGAAGATTTAATATACATGTATTCATCAATAGTGTGATCCCGGTCGCATGCCTTACTATTTCTTAGCAGTCGTATGGCACGTACAATTTCATGTTCATGTAAATCAATGTTCAGAATATCATTACAATCATTTATGTCAAAATTAGTGCTAAGATCAAAGGGATCATCGATCGATATGATTTGCCTTTTCAGCATTTAAGTTCTATATATATTCAAAAGCATTATTGATAAGGTGCAAATCTGCGTCAATATCTTTCTCACGTAACATTTTCCAAAATGAGCGTGAATCGCTTTTATGCAATATTATTTGCATGTTAAAACTGTGTTTGTTATAAAATGTTCGATGGACTTTTTTTTTTTTGCTACTGTTTTCTACGGAAGCGTAGTGTGGCCACGGTGAAAAATGTTTTAGTCTCATTATCTCTTACTTAGGACTTAGTATCTCCTACGTAGGACTTAGTATTTCCTACGTAGGACTTAGTATCTCCTACCTAACACTTAGAACTTAGTATCTCCTACGCAGGACTAAGTATCTCCCACGTAAGAGTTAAGTCCTACGTAGAACATAGTATCCCCTGCGTAGGACATACTATCTCCTACGTAATACTTAATATCTCTTACGTAGGACTTAGTATCTCCTACGTAGGACATACAATATCTCCTACGTAGTAGATGAGCGATATGAATTAATATACATTCATTTGAAATGGTCGACTTAAATCCCCAGACACGCAAACAATCCCATTTCACTGTTTCAACCACTGTTAGAGTATACAGTCATGTGTTTCATTCACTATTAGAGTCATGTACATGTGTTGAACTAATCGCTGCACATTACTGTCATGTGTTGAACTAATTGTTGCACATTATTGTCATGTGTTGGACCGACTGTATAATACTGTACTGCCTTGCGCTCAGTTTGCTCTACTATTACGCGCTGCAGTTCACTGTTATGTGTTGCACTTTGTTACACTTTACTGTTATGCTTTGAATATTTCAGAGGCCGTTGCACATGGGTCATAATCTGCGTGCACAGATCTGTGTTATACTATCGGTGGCAACCTATGGATGGTTATTCCCATGATTCAGGAGCCGGTCGAGTGTAGTAGCTAAGTCGACACAGAAATTGTTTGTCAGCAATAATTTCCCTGACCTTCCTCCAAGATAAAAGACAACGTTACCATCTTCTTGTGAATAAATATTACAGCTTGTCGAGTTTGTGGCATTACACATGATGGGGATTCTGTGTTAGAACTAGACCCCAGTAACCTGTGCTTGGATCCTTTCGGTAGGCTATGCGACATTATTAATGCGAGTTACATTATACGTTGTTCACTGGTCACGAGGGGGACATGGGTTGATGTACCCTCTATGTTTGTTTATGTTCCCTGAGCCCGAAGGGGAACATAAACAAACATAAAGGGTACATCAACCCATGGGCCCCGAGGGAGCAGTGAACAACGTATTTATCTTACCGAACACTTCAATGTTAATTTTGAACTGCTTGAAGCACGGGTATTGGGTCATAATAAGGAGTACCGGAGTTAGGCAACAGCCCAAACACTACAAACACAAAGTACCTAACGAATTCCCACAGTTCGGCATTTCCAGCGGGTAACATAGAAAATGTTACTCGTTTGTAAGTGGGGTACATTGATTGGCTCAGCCAATCAGAAAACGACATTTATGTGTGAGGTAAGATAATGAACATTGGCGAATATATGGCTTTTGTGTTACAGCGGTTTACAATAACTACAATGACAATTCTTTGCCTTTTTGAATTTCGTATTGTTTTACGCCGCACTCTACACCTCTTCACCCAGTCAAGTCAACCTGTAAACGATCACGAAAAACAAATCGCCAACAACGAGCGTTGTATCCGATCCAACCTAACTCCATCTGAAGACAAGCAACAACTTGCGGAGAATGTGTTATTTCCAGAGTTTATTCATATCATAACCTCACCCCCACCCTCCCTCTATGTATGAATGAAAAGATGTATGATAGATCAAACATAACCATACCCAAATTGCCATCACTGCACTTATCAATAGAAGGTTCACTTCGCCCTAACGTAATACACATACACAATAACACCGTATAGCAACTCTGCGTTAGTGTCAGGAATATTCACTGACTCACATTTCTACTATCTAACGTCCTACATAACCAAACATTTCTCAAATTCATATCCATACTTCCTAATCCGAACCTCTGCAATAATTATTATCAAGTCATATCGTGGTTGCTCGATTTAATAATTACGTGTGACCCATCCTGATAACTGCAGGATTCTTATCAATTTCCCTTTCACCTCATGGAACATTAGTTGTGTATATACACAAATATTAATACATATAATAATCATTTTCTATGTAGGAGATATTAAAGAGATTGTATGTCCTACGTAGGAGATACTAAGTCCTACGTCGGAGATATTAAGTACTACGTAGGAGATATTATGTCCTACGTGGGAGATATTAAGTCCTACGTATGAGATAGTGAGACCAAAAACATTTTTCACCTTGGCCCTACTACGCTTCCGTAGTTTTCAAGATGCGTTTGGATTTGTAAACTTTTTTGTTTGTTAAAAATACTTTTTGCCTGATTATACCGTCCCCCCTACAGATCTTACACTGACGTCCGAACCAGGTCTTAGCTCTGTTACATCCTGGTCTGGTTGACGTTGTTTGATTTTTCCAGTTTTTACTATATTTAATCACAAATACCCATTGTTGTTTTTGCTGTTTATCTCATCCATGCATACCCTTACGTTGTCTTTGTAAATCCCTATTGGATGTATATAGGTCTGTGCTGTGCTGAAGCACTTTACTTTTGCCTGACAACGGTATGATGATTTGTACCAAACGCCGCATTATAACATAATAAAGAAGCCATCGTCAATAAAATAGCTTGCCTCTTTTCTAAAATTCAGAAAATTCATGAATACTGATGTCATAAATATCACTATCCTCAGACATACACATGTAATCCTTTACAGTCAATACATTTGCAGATGATAATTATCCCCGATGTTAAGTGTTCGCTTTCCCTTATCAATGTTAATATGCATACTTTCAGCAAGCATTCTAAAACCAGTCATCACAGATGCACCAACTATAGGAGCAGGTAATATTGATATCAGCTGGACCAATACCGATGTCGCTGGAGGGTACACATCCAGCTATACAGTAACGTGGACTCCAGGAACTACAGGTTCTCTAGCATCTGTTACTGCAAACCAGAAGAGCTACAGCATCCAGCCACTGTCTCCAGCAACAACATACACTGTCACAGTTGGACTTATCATCACACAGCACGGCAGGAGTCAGACGATTACCTCGGACCAAAGGACATTTACAACAAGTAGCTAAGTCAACTTTCACTCAGTCATTACTGTCACAACTTGACCAGAGATTAAGTTTATCACTTCAAGGCTTGAATGTGCACATTTTCCTTACCAGAAATACTCAACATATGGCAGTAAAACTCTTGTACGTGGATCAGTGTATGAAATAAGGCCCGTCCGACCGACCGAGACGGTCTAGATTTCTGACGGACGGTCTGAATTTACATCTAGCCAGCCACACGGTCTGGTAAAGTTTTTAGATGTTTCATGCATCGTAGTAAATTCACCATATTTGGTCTGGTTAAATCCATTTTGGGCTGGTTACATTTTGGAATTTTGGCTTATTTCATACACTGACGAGGGTACTGAAATCAAACAAGGGGGTGCTTGTGAATGGGTATGGGCTTAGGTCGCTTTAAGAAATATTCTTTAAATTTTCCTGCCAGGGACACCGGATATACTTAATAACACAGTTCACTTGTACAGACATCAGCGCGGTTATAAGACAAGTGTATAGTACTATGACATGTAATGCATGTATATATAAAATATATATAGGGACATACGTTATTAAAATTACTGGTTTCAGTGGGATATTGCTTATTATCCTCTATCATCTGGTTAGGTTCATCTTTAGTTTGGTGTTGGTACACGTCGCACGGTCGTCTAAAGTCTCATAATTCGCGGTGCAGAGTTCTACTCCTATGATCATGAGTTCGAATCCCTGTTAGACCCGACCATGTTTATACGTGTGTTTGTATCATATGTTCATGGGTTTCACCAAGGTGACAAACGTCGTAGAAATGTATCACTGTTCAACGCGGTGTTAAAGCAAACACATTCACTCCTTAGATTAGATGTTTAATGAGCGTTAGAGAGATGTATCATCACCCACCTATGTGTCAGACAGTTCTGTACTGCCATCATGTTACTTTCAGAACAAGTCTTTGGTGGTGAATGCAGTAACCCACTCGTGTGTGACACAACAGACCCCAACATTCAGTGTATACAGTCAAACATGAAGTGTCTCTGTACAGATGGGATGTATAAGCCAGCAGCAGCAACACTGTGTCAGAACAGTAAGTATCTAATTGGAGAATGATTGGTTCTTACTTTTAGCTGTCGACATCTATACAGTTCCTTGTAAGTGTATGAGCTTTATTAGGTTTTGCATAGAAGGAAGACTGAATTGCCAATGTGAGCAGCATCTAATATGCTGCGCGTCCTTTCTTTTCAGATGCATGTCTAAATGTCAGTAGCCGGATTCTTGTAGTTACTGATTATCCATGAGATATCTGCACAAGTATCTCAAAATCATCGCTAATTGGCATGAACTATCATCGCTCAACACAGTTACTAATGTAAAAAAACATCTTTTTTTCTTGTGTAGCTGTTGGGTAGCCTAGTGGTTAAAGCGTTCACTCGTCATGCCGAAGACCCGGGTTCGATTCCCCACGTGGGCACAATATGTGTAAAAACCATTTCTGACGTCCCCATTGTGATATTGCTAGAATATTGCTGAAAGCGGCGTAAACTAAAGTCACTCACCCCCACAAATTTATTGTGTATGTGAAGGACAACTCTGAATGTTAGGACCCAGTAAGTAACATTGACAAAAGGGGAAATTTCAGTGGTCTTGCTACCCGGTCCAGGGGTCAGAAGGCTAAGATCATTAAAATGTAGCAAATAGCGAAGTACATGTATTTCCTCTGGCCAGTCTGGGACACCTTTGGTCTCTTTGCTGTGTTTCTATCCGCACTAGTGTCATAAACGGGTTCTTCGGTGGGTTTCTACGATCCGCTCTTGTGTGAAATACGGAGTGAGTGTGGGTGTTACGCTGCTTATAGCAATATCAGGGCGGGGGACACCAGACACGGGCTTCACACATCGTACCCATGTGAGTATCGAACCCAGAAATTCAGCGCGACGAGCAAACGCTTTTACCACAAGGCTATCCCACCGCCCCGTGAAATACGGAACGTTTCACCAAAATGCCTGTGTATAAAAACTATCATTGTTGATTGTACTCACTACAGACTCACATAGCTCTGAACACAGCGGAAAAACAAGTGAAATCTTTAAGACAAGTAAAACAATACAGTGTGACCTCTTATAACGGTGAAATCTGACTTGCACGTTTTGTTTTGTACATAGGTCATCTAATCTGGTAGTCGTTATACAGTCTGCTTTTATATTTTATTGGGTATATGTCGTTCGAAATGGTCTCCCCTAAATCTACGCAGCATTTCTACAATGCGTAAGACAAGTCAAAACACTTTTGGACTGCAATCTAATGCGATAAACGAAAGCCATAACAGATAAACAACAGGTGTAGTTTAACTTCTCATTTCCTTCCTGATTTCTTCTGCGTCTATTACATTTTGATATACGCGCAATTTTCCTTTAAATCAATGTACATTTTCAGATTGTTAAAGCTTATTCAGAAGTAACGCTTGGTGATCAGTTCGTGTGGTTTTCCGGCCTTTGTGTTTTGGACTAGGGCCGGATTCGTCGGATGGCCGTTGGTGGTTGCTCTCTGTCGATGGCGATTTGTGTTTAAAATTATATCTGTGACAAGCGATTGTCGACAAGTCAGTATAACAAAATATGGGTGTGTTGAACAGGAGCATGTTCAATGTCCTTGCAAGTCACTTATCCCATGTCTGTTACCAGTGGATCATACACGTCTTCATTCACAATAAGTACCGGTGCCGTAATTCGTTGAGAAGAGCTGTGTCCCATGGATAAGCCAGACACTATTTATGTTTCTAGGTTGTCAGCACTACCGGTTACACAAAACCAAATGTTTTCCCATAGACTTCTATAGTAACCTTATGTTTTTTTAAAAATTATCCAGGCTATCAACAGCCATTCCATGGGTACAGTCTGGCCTTTAAACTACAAAACACATAATTTCTGGCCAACTTGTCGGGCTAATTTTCCGAGCACAGGAAGCGGAACACATCAACCTAAGTTCCGCACCAAATGTCACCCACTGGAAAATAGCTGTACACAATAAGCATAAGTCATGGTGATGAAATGACAGCACTAAATACTTAAAATTGTGGTCAGTTTTAATTACTGGATGGATGTGCTTGTAAAAAATATAAATATCTGACACTATTTCATCCAATCACAGCTGCCACATGTCTCTCTCTCTCTTCAGTTGTTTACATACGGGACTCGCTCAGGGAGCATGTGATTCTGATTTAGTGTAGTGGAACCTATACCGGTGATCGTGGGTTTCACTTAAGTGGTGAACGTCAACTCCCGAATAAATCCGGACCTCCCGACTAAATAAGAATACTGCAGCGTGCTGTAGCTGTCTTAAACCAAGTATATGCAATTTAAATGCAGTTTGGTTCTTTCTCCTTCTTTACATGCTAGTATAATCTGCGTATAATCTCTGGAATTTCCAGACCTTCTAACAAAGAGATTCTTCTTCGTAAACATCATGCTGTTGTCCCTCATTGTCATAACGTTTCCGAAGACGTTTGATACAATTCTAAACATATTCCTTCTGTGTTCTCTGGTGATCAAATGTCGTTATTAGCTATGTTTTAGCTCATACTTACGAACATTATTGTCAGATTTCACCTACGTTAATCCATTCTCACCGTCTTATCTAGTTGGTGAAACATTGTAGGTGCTCTAATCTGCCATCCGAACTGTCAACCATGAATACAAGCTGTTTATGTCTTCCCTGATATTCCCGATGACGTTTTGTTGGCTCTTGTGTTGAGGTGTTCAAAGCTCTGATTCGTAGATTTGATCGCACATTTCTGTTCTAGGAGGTTCATTGCCTTGTTTCGCTGTTTCTTAGTCCAACATATTTTTAAGAGCATTAATCTCATTTACTGACAGGGTCCTCTCTACGATATGATTCAAAGTCACTGCAGGCATCGGGCAGGGTTCCGTTCAAATTCAAAAGTAGGATTGAGAAAGATTCATCGGTGAAGCAATTGCCTCTGATTTGATTTGTATTGCTTGACTGGATAATGGTGCCATGTTTCACCATATAGTGCACTTTACATTTCCCCATTTCTAAGGAACCTTATGTGCACGTCCGCCCAGTACAACTCACACCAACCTGGTTCCCGGGGTCTCCTGCGCTACGCTTCGACACTGATCCGGCAATGACTACCGAATGGCGACTATGTTTTATGTTTACGATTTCGTGACAATAGCGAGCTGACAGAAAATGTCAACGCACATGTCGGTGTTGAAAATAGGTGCACGTGTGTGTGTGCGTGCGTGCATGCGTGTGTGTGCATGCGTGTGTGTGTGTGTGTGTGTGTGTGTGTGTGTGTGTGTGTGTGTTATTGTTTACATTTCGCCCAAGTAACGACGACTTTCGTGTCTCAAAACTGCTTAAATAACGTTTTCGTGCACAGAAAGTAACGATGGGCGTTTTCTGGTGCCGCATACTTTGCCTTTTTAACGATGAAAATGCTATGAAAAAATTCTAACCACCCGTTCTCGGATTTTTCTATAGTAAATATATGGCGTGTCGACCAGTAGTGAAGACTGCCGTTCGGTAGTCATTGCCCGGGTCAGTGTCTAAGCGTACTGCAGCAGAACCCGTGAGCCAGGTTAACTCACAAATACACATCTTACTACCTTATTTACCTGTTTAATCCGTTTCCCATGTCTGCCTCAACACATATTTGCGTACCTTTCTTCCATGAACTGTTATTCATGGTGAATCGACTATAAAAGAAACGTTTGGTCATTAATCCAGACCCCTTTGTTGTAAAACGAATCTATTTTTTACTTATCAACATCGGAATATCAGGACTTCTACACAACATCGATCACTTGATTGTCTGGTTTGTTCACAGGCCACCGTGGAATAATGACAATGGCGCAGCAAGGCTATAAATTCTTACCTTTGCAGAAACAGTATGTGAATGACGAGTGTTACCGGGAGGGCAAAAAATACTTGGTGTCGTTACTGATTTTCAGTGGTACATTCATAATGTTTCTAGTTTCCCATGTACACCGACCGGAATCCGTGTCTGAGGATAGACACGACTTCGAAAGGATACTTTTGCACTGACGTCTTTTATGTGAAATTCCGACGCGAGAACGATCAAATGAGAAGATTTGTCATGTTTTCTTTAGATTATATTTCTATCAGTACTCGAAGAAGAAGTGCGTTAATACGCCTACAATATTGTACCACATTTACATACACGCTATATGTGCGTGTGTTTGGCGTCTGTTTTTACATTATCTACTGCACTTTCATTTGTTTTAAATGCATCTGTGTCATGTTGTATGGTCCCTAGAGTGGTTATCTACCTTCAGTTGTTGGCGATCCTCAGCCTTGTATTGTCCTAATTTGAAATCCTCTTTTAGTGATATATGCTAATTTATATTTCTTGTTACTGTGATGTACTAGTTGGTTTTACTGTCCTTCGTCGACAGGTTTTTAAACTTTGTGCATTTATAATGAATTTACAACTATTTTAAGTCACAATATGGCTGAAATATTGCCGATGTGACTATAAATTTTAACTCACTCACTCATGTTGTATGATCGACGAAGCGTGCTTCTTAGTAGGCCTATTTAAATAGTGTGATGATATATGCAATAAGAGGTTGATATATTTTCCATGGAGCAGCCATATTCAGTGAATTCTTTGTGCATGAATGTCATCGTAGGTGCATACAATGTACAGTAAACAGTAAAAGTCATCTGTGGGAGAATTTAAAATACGCCACAGATACATGGAAGACCCAAGCTTTGTGTTGTGTTTTCAGGTTGTGTTTTCGGCCTCCGAGTGGTGCATTCATATATGTTTTATTTATACCCTTACACTAAATGTTATCTGTCTATGAGGAGGGGCAACACTGGGTATCCCTTTGTATTTTTGGTGAGACAAAAGTGTCGCCAATCTAACATATCTTGATGATGCAATCGCATCTTCGTTCATTTAACATGCTAAATGACCAAATGCCCAAATCAATAAAAGACAAAAATACTCCCCTCTGTAAGTGAATCACGTTCTTAATGCCCAGTCGTTAGGTAGAGGCACCTGAAAAACTTCCTGTCAAAAGATCAAAGATTAAGAGTTGCGAAGTTCCCCATGATGACGTGTGTGCAGTAATACATGTGACAGGACCGGTATATCAGGAGACTGAGCATACATTTATCATACATACCACTGTTGACGCTTTAAGTGAATGTCGGCAATGATAGTACTTGGATTTTTGTTACTGATCTGAACATGTATATTTTCAGCTAGCCCACTAAAACCAGTCATCACAGAACCACCATCTACAGGGACAAGTAATATTTACATCAGCTGGACCAATACCGATGTCACTGGAGGGTACACATCCAGCTATACAGTAGCGTGGTTACCAGGATCTCCAGGATCTTCAGGATCTTCAACATCTGCTCCTATAACCCAGAAGAGCTACAACATCCCGTCTCTGTCTCCAGGAACAGCATACAGTATCACAGTTAGACACACCATCGCACTCTACGGCAGGAGTCAGACGATTTCCTCGGACCAAAGGACAATTACAACAAGTACCTACGTTACACTTTTCCCCAGTCATTATTGTCACAACTTGATTCCATATTATGTTTATTACTTCAAGACTTGAATGTGCTCTTTCCCATACCAGAAATACTCAAAACCTGTGAGTGAAAGCTCTTACGTTGGCAGTGAACTCAGACCGAATGGTTTGACTCACGTCTTGTATTTGGAACTTGACAGTGATGAGTCATTTACAGTTAAAACGCAATATAAAACCATTATGATTTCCGGAGTAATGTTTATGACAATTAATTTGTAAAAAGTCATTGAAGTCTTGATGGAACATGCAGCATTACTCTCTTAGAACAGAGCTTATCCTTTGAAATGTCTCTCTTTTTTGGGCAGATTTTATGCCCTAACACCTGGCTGTTCCTCACTCTGCACTCCTCCCTCGTAACAAAAAGTGAACTGTGTCAATATTTTAATGATAGTTTGTTAAGCAACTTCTTTATTATAAGGGCATAAATTCTGCAAAAAATCTCACAGAGTTGGTCTGATATTTTGATCATGATCAGCGTTTCATTGAGTATTATGTGTTTATTAGTTTTCGAGTTAGATTTCAATGCATCGGTCCGCTTTTGAGCCAAACGGACGGTAATTCGCCTGAACAAACACGGTAATGTGGTTCAAGACACAATAAGGAAATTATGGACATCAACTTGAGTATATGCTGAAACTATTATCTGCCTATACTGCATCTGGATATTGTGTCAACTTCAGCCATGGTATAATGTCATGTTGTTAGAAAACCTTTACATGTCGCATTAATCAAGTATTAATGAGACAATATATTGGATGTAGGTTTGAATGTGTACATATATGTGACTACTAATAAGCCTTAAGAACTGATTTTTCAACATTAGAAACATTGATACCCAGATGTATACATTCACCAATATCACATGTTGAACGAATGTTCATAAACTGATTATCTTCTCTCTCATGTTATCACACGTACGACGTATTGTGGGCTATCTCTGCAGACTTACGCCTTAATCATTGCTTTCAGGGATAGGCTACAACGGAAGCTGCTCACAACCTGGTTTGTGTTACGATGCCAGTGCCAACTGTTACAGTGACAGGTGTCGCTGTGATCCGAGATTCTACCGAACTACAACCTGTGTCAGCAGTAAGTGGTTAATATGGATGTCTATCTTACCTTCCACGTGAACTTTGGATTGTGACTGGCTCATTTCTACTTCTTCAGAGTGGCATCCTGACCGAATCTTATAAGAGTATACATGTATAATGCACCGGCAATATGCAGCTAGGTAAGATAAATGCATTGTCCACCGATCATTCCAGTGTCATGGGGTGGTGTACCTGTGGTCATGTTGACCCGTGGATAAGTTATTATTGTTCATGTTTATTCTTGAAACCCTTTAGCGTCATGGCGCCAAAATGTGGATGTCAGGCGCGCCCTTCAACATATTTCCGGTGATGTCATTTTATTGCACATAATCGGAAGTTTCTCTCTTAGTCGAACATCAAGCAATGTCAGTCAGTACTTACATCAACTTACATCGCAATGTTCTGTGAACATGAACAAGTTATATATGGATGTACCCTGTTCAACTGACCTCCGTCTGAACATCTGGAAGTAAATGATATGAAAACCAATCAAAGTGATAACCACGACTCCAGACGCACCGTCAGTCTGAAATACTAGGGTCGTTTTATTAAGTTTAAACCCTCACAATGAACGAATTGCGTAATGGCGACTTTTTGTTGTGGAAATCCCATGATATCAGAGACATATCCAAAATTAGATATATTTGTAAAACGTCACTAACTTATTTTGCTTAATTGTCACAGCCACAGAATTTGTTTGATTGTCTCCTTTACACAAGTTTATATTATCTGTAGGAAATGGGTCAAAGGATTGTTACCGATGCTGATGAGAATGGTATACTTTATATTAAATATGGTCTATCGTGTATGGAATCTCCCACCTTCATAACTACGTGTGATAATTCTGAAAACATGCATGCTTGTCTGACGGTCTCCCCTACTGAATCTACAGTTATGAAATCCATCAAGTTCCTGTTCATGAAAGATATTTGCCTGTATTGATGTGTTCCGTTCCTGTTCATGTCAATTCAGTCAACCAACTTCGTCCTACCACTGTGACGGCTGTCGCACAAAGCACAACCACCATGACAGCAGCCTGGACAGCTCCTTCTAACGGCGTCGTTACCGGGTACGAGGTCACGGTTACACCAGGGGACATTCCTCCAGTCAGTGTCGGTAGAGACAGCAGGACCACGCCCATCACACGTCTGACACCGGGGAGAGTATACACTGTGAACGTGAAGACAAAGATTACCTACCTGCCAGGACGAGATGAGATGACTGATGCTGTATCTGCAGCAGCAATGCGAACAAGTATGTGCAGGGCACTCAGAAGTTCTTTTGTTCAATTGCAGTATGTATGTATGTATGTATGTATGTATGTATGTATGTATGTATGTATGTATGTATGTATGTATGTATGTATGTATGTATGTATGTATGTATGTATGTATGTATGTATGTATGTATGTATGTATGTATGTATGTATGTATGTATGTATGTATGTATGTATGTATGTATGTATGTATGTATGTATGTATGTATGTATGTATGTAATGAAATGTAGCAAACAACAAATTGAAAGTACCACATTAACTGTCAAGCAATGATCTCAAAACACAATCCTATTGTTCTTATTCGGAGTCATTTCAAAAAGCCCACTTATGCATGTTGTGGCATGAATCTGGCACAAGTATGAAAGTGGCTTTACGAGGAAGGCATTACAATTACAAAGCGGGTATATAAGCTTTGACTGAAACAAAAACATATCTCAGCCCGATTTTAACCACAAGACGGATTTTCTTCTCACAAAAAGGGAAAGATACCAAATGTAAATTACTGAACGGAAAAAGGAAACTATAAGTACATAACGATATGGGGTATAATTAATTTACCTTGTGCCAACTGACCTGTTGACTGTGTGCAAAGATATAAATGTAACCCCGAATCTATCATCCAAAACTGGCTCCCACAGTAGATCAAGCGATATCTAGATTGTAGATATAGCAACAAGTGAATTGTCATACTGCTATTACGTCAGTTAATGGCCTCACAATGATTTGACATCACTAAGAACATAGCTGACAATGCTATGATGTTACGAAGTTGATGTCACTACAATGCTATCATGTCATAAAGCTGATGACGTCACATGCTCAAGACGGCGATTGGCAGGTTTGTGTTCAGATAAATTCATGCTTTTAATGATAACTGATGAAGAATGATTTTGGGTGATAAATAAAATCTCACCCTCGTGTCTTCTGATATCAAATATATCAACACTTGTTGATTAAAGTAAAACTATCCTCGACAATCCTCGGATATTTATAACTTTAATCAACTCGTTTTGATATATTTGATATCAGAAGACACTTGGGTGAGATTCTCTACATATTACATATAACGTCAATGCAAGACAATACTAGGCGTCTCTGTAACATCTAATGTGCCCAATATTTTTAGCTATTTTCTGTGTCTGCGTAACTCTGTTTTTTCCGACCCGTGAAGGTCCGGGTTAGAATGAATCTTCAGTGACCCATACTTGTCGTAAGAGGCGACTAACGGGATCGCGTGGTGAGGCTCGCTGACTTGGTTGACACATGTCATCGGTTCCAATTGCGCAGATTGATGCTCATGCTGTTGATCACTGGATTGTCTGGTCCAGACTCGATTATTTACAGATCGCCGCAATATAGCTTGAATAGTGCTGAATGCGGGGTAAAAGTAAACTCACTCACTCTGTTTTTCTAATAACAATAACTTAAAGAGTTTATCTGAATGCTGCTATCAACTGCTAAGAAATATAAGCTGCTTCGTCGTGTTTGTCACTACATCTGCACAGGATGAAAGGAGAAAGATTTTGTAAGTGAAATATATACCCACCAGGAAGAAGAATGGAAACATATTTTGCAGAGCTGACCTGTCTCTGTATTTTAAAATCCATACAGCACTTACACCTCATGTGTTATACAGCATGGCATTGTTATATCCAGAATTGACAGAAGAATTGCAGTATGTAATAAGGATTGGATCCGGGAGCAAATTAACAAAAGAATGTACAAAATGTAATACCTTTGCTAAAGTACTGTCGGAAATAGATAAAAACTGTATTTTCTCATTTATCTCTACAATTTAATATGTAGTTGATATGTGCAAATGTGAAATATCTGTTAAACTGCAGTCTCAGTGGTAGGGACATAGGAAACGTAGAAAAAGGACTTTACAGAGGAGAGATTAGAGCAGAAATAAGCAATGCGGGTTTTTTTCTAAGTCCAAAATGATTTATTTTGAACAAACCATGGCTTTATGCAAATTAGTGTGCGACGATATTGTATTACAAAGGATACTTTTTAAATGCCCAATTTGAAATTAGACGTAGCTTCATTATAAACAATAGCTGGCGTAAAAATAATAACTTTCATGCTGAAACTATTTAGGATGTAGCTACCATGGAGTCTCACTGTCACTATACAACAAGAAACAGATAGGAGGGTTCGTCTCAAAAGCAAAACCTGGACGGGTGTCGCAGACGGTCGTTGGGGTCGGGCTGGAGGATAGAGATATCAGCTAAGATAAGATAATCCTTTAGGGCAATTATACTGGTGAAGTACACGGCATGTCAAAAAAGTTTACAATTAATATCCAGTCCTGACGATCTTCGCGATCGGGTGGTCATGCCAGCTATATATTTTGAGACATTTAATACGATGGGTTTCTATGGTTATCAGGTATCATACTCTTTTACATATCTCAAAATAAACTTTATGAAAGAAAGACACGTAAGATGTTAATCAATAGATGAGACATAGTCAACACACATGAAAAAGCACAAAATATCTTTGAGATTACCCCTTGTGCCTGTAGGCAGCACATGCATATGCATTTCATGCCAGGTGAGTCGACGGTCCGTCGTCATACCTGGCTGAGCGACCTAATTGCACCTATAGTCTGATCTGTTGTTTTCAGCAGCTATTCGTATTTTTTCTAAGCTTTGTCCGATTTTACGAGTAAACATGCTTTGCTGGATATCCTATTACGCATCCCACTGAATGCCAAGTTAAGCCGAATTGGGCTATTTCGACATATGCTATTTGCAGTTGTATAAATTTTAGGGATACAGAGTAACAGCCTAAAAACATTTTTTTTCTATTTCCGACAGTACTTTAATGTTTATCATCACAATGTCATCCTCAACTGTGAATATGTACTTTCAGAGAGAGATATATTATTTTCAGTTCGAATGGATAATCTTGATGTTGAAATGTATGTTAGAATAGAGATAATGGAAGAGCATGACATGCTTGCATTCTTTCCTGGGGCCGATAACCACGTTATTGATGAAATAACATGGGATTGCCGAATTCTCAAAGTATCCGTATAAACTAAAGGATATTGTTAATAGCATGTGGTAATAATTGTACCAATATCTCTCACAGTGTACAGCCTGTATATACTGGGGAAAATGTTTTCATAATTACCTATACGTGCGTGAGTGTCTGATGAGTATTTTGTTACTTAATTATGAAATTACATAAACATATTTTGAGGATCTTCGGACTTATCTGGAGGAAATAAAGACATTCGTTTATTCTTCATGAGGGAGAAAAAAATATATATCAGTGAACACCGTGACCGGGTACCGGTATGGAAATTGGAAATATTACTTCTCTCGTTAATTGATATAAGGAATATGCCCAAGCTGCGGACTGCTTACTTTCATATTTTACGCCATGCCAAAACACATTGCGAAAAATACACCCACCTGTTCTAAGTACTTAGATTGAATATTTTATAATGAGGACCAGATAATTGTGTTTGTGCATTTGAACGGGAGCATGTTTACGTCTAAGTATGACAAAACATGAGCATACGTGCCAGTTTGTTTTTATAACGAAAATCAGGACAATCAAAATGTATGTTGATACAATTGTATCATGAACCTGGTGTCTTACCGGCACGACTATGTATTTTTAATGGAAATTTATTCCTTTAAAACTAAATACCTTAACCTTGTATCACATCCATGGACTACTGAAATCATTTCTACATGGACCTGTAATATGAGTATGTGGGGGCCCTGAAACAGCTATACCGAAAACAATGCTTTACTCGTTAAAGTCGTGTAAAATATATTATCATCTGATAGCCGTTTTGTACGAATGTCATGTAATACGTTTTTATTTAACGTCACTTGCATGTCACGTCACAATCCTGTCTGCATTTGAGTTGCACCGATGGCGGTCACATGATGAATGCACATATCAAGGAAATATAATTTACTGAAATTAATCGTTTCGTCACTTGTCACCTGTTGTGAATGTTGGGGTCTCCAACAGGCGGACGGGATTTTACGCGCTGATCGGTAAACATATGGATTATATAGACCTGTAGTGAGCGGATGGGTGTTAAACTCGTGGTGGAGAGTAGAGAGTATGGGTTACGGAAAGATTGTTCTGAAGCGTTTGTGATACATGCGTGATATAAAGCATGATTAACTGATCTTAGAACATATTGTATCGTTATATCAAGATCCACATACATCTTGATCTGTTTGGGACATGCATTTTTCGTCTGTTATGTACCATAAAGCTACTGATGAGATAAATGTTATCTCAAGAATACTGCCACCATGATATCACATTGGTACCATCATTTCAGCGCCGGCTTCTGTCACGGGCCTGGACATGACCAAAACCAACTTGACCGCTCCCGACATTACCATTGTGTTCGCCAAGGCTGCTGGGGATGCCACCATGTACATTGTGACACTCAGAGGACGGGATGGAGATACATACATCCAACAACGTCAACCTGTCAACACTGGACAGGGTCCCATCTCTGTCGTCTTCACTGGTGTTGTCCCAGCTGTATCGTACAACCTGAACATACTAACACAGAGTGGGAACCTCCAGAGTGTACCCTATACCACTGTGATACGAGTAGTGTCAACTCGTGAGTACTGTAAAACCCTCAACATTTAGAATCTGTGAATGATGTAAATAGAACTGTACATAGATGTTGAACCGTATGTTATTGAACTATAACTGACACGAATAGTTTGTGTACATGGCATACTGATATAGTATAATGGTCTGTGTTGTAAAAGCATCATATACAAATAACACTTAATAATCATTCACCCGTCGTACACCTCATATGACTTTTCAAACTTTTGGCACATAGTATATATCAATGCCCTAGTGATTTCATGTGTGTTATGTGCCAAACAGAAACTCTCTTTAAGAACAAACATTATGATAATATACGGACACTGGTCTGTGTCGTGTGAGAGAGCCATTTTCGTCAAGCAAATTTTGATCTACGTTTATTGACGCCAATAACAACTTTGAAATTGAAACATATTTACATCGTAAATAGTCCAGCTTATATTTAAGAATATTATAAGATAGCAAGTGCAAGTTGATTATGCCTTCAGCTGCCGGAATAGTTACCAATCTGAAGTCGTTTGACAACACGTCCCGCTCTGTTGCTGTGGAATGGAGCAGACCAGTCAACCCGAACGGGCAGATCTATGAATACATTGTCGACGTGAGGACGGGTGGTCCCTCAGTCTGTGTGAAGCGGGTCATCATCAACTGCACTGAATGTAGCAGAGAAATGGCAAACTTTGTAAGTATGCTATATAGAACTGTCTGTTCATTCATAGTTTATATACTAAGGACCTGAGCCTAAAGATAATACAAATCTTTGTAGAACGGTCTCAAGTGTGAATATGCACCCCCTCCTTTTCTGAAGGTTAAGATGTGATGCTTCCTGACTGACATCCCTCAAGTAACAGTCAAGTGTGAAATGCAAGTGCATGTCTATTAATGATGTTATCTAAACCATTCTGCAATAGACACAAATACAACAAATTGTACAACGTTGACAACACATCTGGACTCAGGTAAACTCTGATATCTAAGCTATGTTCGTATTGTCGTTTTCACAGACAAAGATGGAGACCGAATGTGACCCAACCATGACTGTGGTGATAACCCAGGCTGACATTGAAAACACCGCCCACGTCATACAGCACAACATAACAGGCCTGAACCCAGATACACCCTACACCATAGACGTAGTAGCTGTCAATGAAGAGGGGCCAGGAGCAACCGGCCAAATTAATCTACACACACCCGAGGAAGGTGAGACAAATATTGTAATAATATTACCTATTCTAGCACGACATTGTGTGATACTCGATTCTGATTGGCTGAGAGCTCATCAAAACCGTATTTAAATGGCAGTTTAAGGACCGCTAATACATTAAAGCGACCGACTGACCGCGTAGGCATACAATGAACTCGTTGACCCTTTTGTATGTAAACAAACATGTCGGACATCGGCGATTTCTACTTTGGCAGCATCTTTGATGTTTTTGAAGTAAAAAGCGAATGGCTTTAAGAAGAATTTCATTGAGCCTAATCCCATTGAATAAACTTCGAAGCGGGAAAATTCGTCAGCAGCGCAAAAGCGACAGTATTCCGCCATAATTCAAACCGGGCCTTGATCAGGTCAGGGCTTTTCCAAATTAGGAATAGCAGCGTGGTTACCAATAATTACTTCCGTGACTAAAGTTAGCGGCGTCTAAACTTACTGAGTTCACTGCTTGAATTGGGAGCGAGTCGATTGTCATAGAGATGGGAGATTATTAATTCGCAAGAGAAAAAAAATCAAATAATTGTACTTGTTCACAGTATATAAACTGTACTTTTTGTGATATGTTTATGCTACTTGTTACAAATACAACCATAATGGTTCCTGAAATAATGCATTTATGTTGTTGAAAATGTCTTAGTTTGTCCATTACACGACCTGTCCTTCAACTGGACGGTTCCAAGCGATTTTCCAGGAAAAAGACCCCTTTATGGCTTGTGTTCTTGCGAGCCAAAGAGTCGGTTTTAAAACGCTGATCAGTCGTGCTAGAATGAAGATAAAGCTACTCCCTTTTCAATTTTGCCGTCCTTTATCGTTGATTTAAGACCGCTAAATGTTATTTAAAAAAACGGAGCTAGGTTTTAAATTGAACATGCAACATGGAGATAAATATTGAAGTGTGGCGTGCGTGTAAAGGGATACTTTTAAGGAAATATTTGTTTTGTAGTTTTCCTCGGTATTTCTTTTGTGTATGCTGTTGAATCCAAGGGGTCGACCTTTTGGTATTCTTAGAATGAGTGTAGGATCAGTGATTTAATTTTAAATACCCTGGAAAAACTAATGTTTCCACGTCTTTTAAAACGGACAAAATGATAGCTAGACCTGCAGGATGCCCTGCTAACATCATTATTCATCTCACAAATATTTTCACTCTCACATTGTCTCTAAGGTACACAAATGTGCCCAACATCGACGATCATTACAGCAAAACAAGAACTCACAATGGAAGCACATCCATGAGAGGTTAATTTTCCTTTGCATGCCAGAATATGGAAGGAACTACGGGTTTCAAGATATTGTTAACTTGCTGAATCCTACAGTACATGTACACATATAAGGTCTGCATTTCAGGTGCTGGTGACCCTACTACCTTCACGGCACAGAGCAGGTCATCAAGCGAGATAACTCTTATATGGGATCCTCCACAACCCCGACCTGGTGTCACTCGGTACAACATAATTGTGTATGAAAAACAGGAAAACAGCGAGGGTTACGACAGTGTGAAGTTCATAACACTTTTAGGTGTGTTTGTTTTCTATTTCACACTTCTAAGTAAATGGTATTGAACCAATGGGCGTTTTCACACATAACGGTATGGTCATATATATTATACCCTTACCAATACCATAAAATCGATAAAACGTAAATAATCTATATATCTATACAAGGGCCAACATACTGGAAGTCAATATAGATTCACCTTTTCATCGATTCACTTCAGTTCCCGTTTAACAAATCATTAAACACTAAAGGCTAAACGAGATTTTTCTACATGCTATGCCTTCACACTAGGTTTTGGAGAGTTCTCTAGGGAGAGCTTTTAGTAATATTCCATCAATATCACGACGGGGGACACAAGAAATTGGCATCATACACTGTACCCATGTGTTGAATATTGAACACGGGTCTCCATAACTACTCGTATAATAATCAGTAATGACAACAATTTTGTATCGATTGAGGCCAAAACCGGCTCGTTTATCAACCCGTCAAGTACTCGCTATACGTTACTTGCACAATTGTACTTGTTTTACAATGTTCTTCACTGTTCGCCGTATTCTGTCATTTCGATCAAATTAATGTTAACTTTGATAAGCATTTGCCCGAAGAAAGCAGCTCCCTCTCGGTATCATGGGATGTCACCACGCTCGGATTTGGCCAAGTTTGGTATAATTATTCTCGCTTGGTTCGGGAGAAAAAGGAAAAAATTGCAGTCAGCTCCAAAGATGGTATGTTTGAGGAAATAGAAACACTATAATAGAAACACTATCCAAACAGGCGCATCGGATATTAACAATCATGAGTTAATGTGTACGTTGAACCTCTGCCTTGGACAGATGACGCCATGGACTAACTGGAATCCTTTAGTCGACGTGATAAGGATGCTCTCCTTGCGGTTCAAGAGGCAAAATGTACGAATCCGAAAGTTTGCAAGGAAACGGAGTCAAGGTGATGATCTGACGTATAACGATTCTCAAACTCTTGCCATAAAAAGTTGAAATGCAGAGAGGCCTCGCAATATACTTGTAAACCCATAGGTATCGGATAATAAAGTTCGAGCACGGAAAGCTGGACTCGCGCTGAAGCAAATTGGATCTAGAGACTTGCACACATTTCAATGTCAGCAAGTAAATGTCCGTCAAGAGACCGACCACCTGACTACAAAGATGACAAAACCTCCTAAAGATAGGGGTAGTACCTCACGCACTCAATAGCCACTTTGTAAAAGGAAACAAAACTCCAACATTGAAAGCATAGAAATAAGGAGCTCTTGTTTCTTCACAAAATACACATTTGTATTTTATGGACTAAAATTTCTATAGGTTTTACTTTTGTTCAGCGCTAATCTGGCTGCGCTGCGCGATGCGACACCTATATCGAAGGATCGAAGAGAAGCTGTCTATCATAACAAGGGATTTTCAATAAGAGGTACAGCCAAACTGCCACATGTTTTTGTTGTTGATTAATGCGTTCAAGACTTACAGCGTGAAGCTAGCGGTAAACCTCATTATCACGCACAGTGAAAGACACTGGGCAGTATCCCTTCAGATTTCAGGTAATAGTAAACTTGGTCAGTAAAGTATGACATCTGAGGTATATCATTACTAGACATAATAATTTACCTTTCAAATTGTATTTGCGGTTCTGGTAATATCACGACATGAATACTTTCATTGTTGACATTATTTTCGAATTTAGAAAGAATTTTAACCCGTATCCGATCAAGTGGAGCCACGGAGTCCACTTTGATGGTATGCTAACACTTTATTTCTCTATATAAATGTTCAGTATTCAGTGTATTCCTGAAATTACAATACTGATTGCTGGGAAAAAGTTTCAATTCAATTATTTTGAAATGATTACATTGATTTTAAAAAGCAAATATCTGTACAGTAAATGCCAGTCAAAGATGAATCGTCGAGCAAGTTTGAGAAGCAATTTTCGCGATGATGATGGTGGTGGTACTGATGCAGTACCTTCTGACAGTGGATCACATTCTGAGTTCGAACCTTCCTCTGCAAAAGATGTCCGCAACAGCAGTGACAGTTCTGATAGTGTTCTGTTCTTTCTACCAACACAAGCGGTGAGCCGTATGTAACTAAGGTAAAGATGGAACAGTTCTGGTCATCAATATCGCGGCCCCAATCACACAACATCCTCTCAGGTCCTTTGCAGAAAAGCATCGATTGTGACCATGTCGCACAGGACGTGGATGCCTTTAACCTTTACCTTTCTGAGCCTGTCATCGACCAGAATCACGAACTATGAAGGATCTTTTTAATAGTATCAGTTCTCATTTAATTATTGCATTTTTAAAAGAATTAGATTTGTTAAATGATTTGTAAATTCATAAATATTTTAAGATTGGAAGCTTGAATTAGTAACTAAGATTGTTAGTGGCTGTATCATCGAGGGGGGTTAAAGTACTGTAAAATTATTGTCCTCCTGAGAGGGTACGTAAGTCCCCAAACATTCGAAGTAAATTAAAACGTTCCACTTTTTTAATCGTAGAATATGTGTTCGTTTAATTTATGGCTAGATTATCTAACATTGCTAATAGCTGAGGGGATGGTGTAAATCAGCTAGGGTCCATGCAGGAAGCAAATGTACTGTAAGTCCCCATGGTCCCTAGTATGGTGATCTACCTTCAGTTGTTGGCAATATATAGCCTGTTTGTACCTTGTATTGTCATCTATAGTTAAACTGTTTTAGATTTAGTTACTAGTTTTAAATTCGAATCTGTGATAATCTAGTCATTTTACTGTACTTCGTTGACAGGTTTTTATAGTTTACCATTGCTTACTATGCATAAAATTAATTGTTTTCGTCACGATATGGCTGAAATATTGCCGATGTGACGTTAAATTTTAACTCACTCACTCACTGTCATCTACCAGATAGTCCAGCACTCAAATGCTGAAGGGAACCGACTTTCCCAAGCTAGGAAAGGAAACTGGAGAGACACAGATGCGATGACAATTCGTGCTCTTATTGGAATGCTTCTCACACTCATGCTCTTTTTTCGAGTACATGCCAATGAAGCCAGTTAAATGTGGTTTGAAATTGTTTTGTATCGCAGACTCAATTATAGATCGTATCGTAGATCATTTTACCCATCCATCCCATCAGATCCATTCCATATCATGGAAAGGAGGGCAGAGACAGACGGGTGAATTTCGGCAGACAGATAACTGAGGACTTGAGTAGACCTTTCTTTCAACAGCAGAAATGTTACAATGTTACACCTGACATCTTTTTCGCATTTAGGGGCGGTGGGCTAGGCTAATGGTTATAGCGTTGGCTCGTCACGCCGAAGACCCGGGTTCGAATCCCCACATGGGTACAATGTGTTAAGCCCATTTCTGGTGTCCCCCGCCGTGATGTTGCTGGAATATTGCTAAAAGCGGCGTAAAACCAAACTCAGTCAGTCAGTCAGTTTTTCGCATTTATGTTAAAAAAGGCATTTTATGGAGATAAATGTTGAGATTTAAGCCATAAATGGTGGAAAATGCATTTACATTTTCTAGATGTTAAACATTACTGTTATGTGACACTGTTATTAAAGATGTAAAAGAGGCAGCATTCTCAGAACGTTTGTCACTGCCAGCTTTGTTTAACTATTGTGATACATGACTGACTGACTTAGTGTGGTTTTACGCCGCTTTTAGCAATCTTCCAGAAATATCACGGCGGGCAACACCAGAAATGGGCTTCACACATTGTACCCATGTGGGGATTGTGTTACATGATATTGTGATACATTATATTCATGTTCTGTTATCTTTACAGAAGAGTTCATTTAGGAATTGTATATTTCAGGGTGGGAAAAAAAGACGGATACCTTTGGCAATCTCTCCAGCTATTGGTTGTACAAGTTTGATATAGTAGCTGAAACAAAAATTGGTGCTTCAGCCATTGTCAGCAGCAGCCCTGGAAGGACGATGGAATCAGGTACAAAGACTAACATTATTATATCACAATATTTACAGGATCACACACACAGAGAAAAAAAACCCAAACAAACCCAAAACAAACAAACAACGCTATAACCATACGTATGTATGTATGCATATATTGTTTCTATATGTCAATAACACGAGTATGGTCAATTGTGGATACACGTTAGAGATATGACACATGTTGCTTAGTAACTCTTTTGCTTCTATTCAATTTCTTCAGTTGTCTTCAAGCCGTTCTCATTATATTCCCAGAGCCGACGGGTGTATTGGAATTGAAAGTCGAGGACATCACTGGTGTGTTTAACCAGGTACAAGTGTCGTGGAAGTGTCCTAAACAGAAGGATGGTAGAAATGGAGTGATTGTTAACGCCAATCTGCATTATTTCACAAAAGTAAGTAGAATTATTTGAGCAATCTCTCGTTATACGAAGCTATGGCTGCACTCTTCATTGTTTCTAACTACGATCAGTGAATTGTTTCAGAGCGACATGCAGGGAAAGTGGAATTATTCAAAGTTAAATAAAAGATATTAACTTCTCCCTGAATGTGACACTTTCCTTACTGACTTTTGAGTTTTGGATTGTTGTTTTTAATCTGTGAAACACATTTATTCCGTGAACACTTATACATGCAGAAGTAATTTATTTAGTGACTCAGTAATATTAAACCTTCAATATGGAATTATTTTTCATCTTTATGCTCATCTGTATGAAGCCCATCTCTGATGTCCCCCACCGTGATATTGCTGCAATTGTTAAAACTAAACTCACTCACTCGCTCAGTTTTCATCTGACTTAGCCGTATTAGTAAGAGGGTCAAAATGTACTAAATGAAGTTATAAGCTGTTTTATTGACGTTTTATCACACTGTGCATAATCCTGTCTGCGACAGTCACTGCCCATTGCTGATCACATGTGTTATGAATGACTGGGGCACGTTAAAACGTCTTCATTAATTCGTCAGGGATACTATTACGTACCACTAATTTATCATTAATGCTAGTGTAAGCTTGTTCGAGTGTCATTACTGTCCATACGAGCTGATTACAAATCTGCTTCCACCTCTCGTTATATTTGTTCACCAGCAACAGTCGACATATAATCCTATAAGGAGGAATGAGAACTTCACCAATAACGGCGACTGCATGTGGGACGTCAAGGTGAACGTAACTACAGAATTCAAGTATCTCTTCGAGGTGAGTTGAGACACGATGCATATCACTATACTTATTATGAATGCGATTAATATGTTCATAAGGAAGTTTCAATCTATGAAACTGTAAATAATGAAGAACCCGAGCCGTGCATCATCACAATTTCCAACATGGCCATAAAAACAAGATCAGGTCGTAAGGTGTAAGATCGCCCCTGAAATGTAAGTCAAGTGAGCGTATACTATTACTTGGTTAAGTTGTCGTTTGTCCTCTGTCGACGTCATCAGTAAGTATGTATTCCTGAGACAAAATGTACCAATTAATCTAAACTTTTATGTGTTGGTTTTCATCAGTCACATTAATTCTTCCCCATGCAGCCACGCAGAAAATAAACGTTGATTGCGCAAAGGCAACAGCGAAATAATAAATGATATGATGGTAAAAATAATCTAGCCACAACAGTGGTCAAGCTTTTCCGAAACAGGTCTGGATGTCGAGGCTGAAAAAGGTGATAGTAGACAACCGCGCGCTGGTTTTCACTGCACATGAGATGACAGCGGCATGTGTTTACCCCGTTGTATAGCTTCAAACATCTTCCAGAAAATTAGGGGGGGTGGGGTAGCTTAGTGGTTAAAGCGTTCGCTCGTCACGCCGAAGACCCGGGTTCGTTTCCCCACATGGGTACAATGTGTGAAGCACATTTCTGGTGTGCCCCGCCTTGATATTGCTGGAATATTCCTCAAAGTGGCGTTAAACCATACTCACTCACTCCAGAAAATTATATATTGTACAAAGTAGTTAGATTGGATGCTGTTCTGGAAGAATCCAGATCACACCTAAACCGTAAGACATCTAAATAGAACAACGCCAACACCACTCGTTACATCTGACAGTAATTCATTCTGGACAAGTAACTATTGTTCAAACACAAACTCCTTACGAATAGGTCCTTCACTTGTTTTCCTTTTTCCTAAAACTTATTTCGGAATCCAGGTGGTCCTCCAACCGCTATCCACAGAAGTTATCTCCCCTAACAGATGCGCGGAAACCTCATAATTTTTATTCTGTTTACTAAACAAAATGTTTCCAAATTTAAGCCTCTTATTTGGTTATCATGGGTAAATGTAAGGGCTTTTAATACATTTGGTCCTCTCCCTCGGGTTCTAGAAATTGCTCAGCCTGCAGGAAATTAATGACTCCACAGAATTCGAATCCTCATGTTAACACTCCTTGTTCTATCGTCTGCCGTTGTTCATTAGCTATCTCCATCAGCTTTCGAGAAGTATACTCTGGTTCTTAAAAGAAAAAGAAAAATGACATAAAAATTGTGCTCCCGTTGTGTAACGCAAATTCGCCTTGTGTGTATTGCGACATTTTCAAACAATGCATTAAATCAGATTTGTTTCTGCCTTCAAACTTTTGTCCTAATTACCAAGCGAAAATTATATGAATATCACTGGTAACTGCACAACGGCCGCCTTTGTAAACTGTTGACCATATATCTACGTGGGCTGCTGTGAAATCTTTTTAAACATGCGTCACCCATGCCGATATACAGGCCATGATCCAACCGACAACATTTATCTCGGCATTTACTGCAAACAGTCAAGCGAGATGCCAGGATTCTTTGAGCGGTCTTCGGATAGTCATATCTGGACGAGCAACACGACTCACTGAACATAAGCGTCGATCTAAACCATCCAGTTTGGATGAATCAGGACGTTATGTCCCAACGGTTAAATTGCGAACATTGTTTACCGAAACCGTTTCCGAGAGATGAGTGACTCGAAGGCGGCATTGTATTATGCGTGACAAGTTTTTCTCGAGTCCCTTACGTCATTATATATTATTACATCACTGTTATCGTCACAAAGACTCTGAAATGATACTCATTCTACATATTTTCTCTGTAACTAGGTCCGTCTCTACAACAGAGGGTTTGCAGGCTCTGTTGTCGGTGTAAGCAAAGACATAGTGGGAGGTGGTAAGTATTGAATTATTGACTAACATTTCGACTGTGTGATTTACTGGATACTTAGTATTAACTGCTGTGATGTGTCGTTATTATTTATAACACTCAGCAAACCTGTAGTTGGTTAATAACAGTGACGAAACCATTTCCAGTCATAACAAATCTTTACGTACAGTGTAACCTGTACGGTTTCGGAACGTGCCTGTAATGTATTAACTCAAATTTGAACTCTGCTGCTACCACTTGACATGTGTCCAGTGGAATTCACCAGATTTCACCTATGATTTGATGATATTGTGGATCCAGGTCACTTAATGTGAATTACGACTCACGAAATAATTACACGACTATGATCTCTTGTGAGGGGTCCCGACTGCATCTAATTAACATGGTTTAAATTCTAGTTATATTAAAATTGAAATTGAGCCTTTTTTGCAATCAATAATAATTTGAGTATTTGTTACTTGTAACTGACGAAAATGTGTTCTGCATTGGGCATATGATTTCTAAAACCAGACAATTGTGTAGAAACGGAAGTGTTAATGACTATATTTCCAAGTTGTTCTTTCTGTTCCAAAGTTGTACAGCATGTGTGTGTGTGTGTGTGTGTGTGTGTGTGTGTGTGTGTGTGTGTGTGTGTGAGAGTGAGAAAACAGTGAGTGATGTCATTGGAATAGAGGTGTTTAAAATTTGTGCTATTCGTCAGCTGTCATAAGATTTTGAAAAAATCCGAAAAAGATGCGGTGTGTGTATTTTTGCAAGAAGTGAGTGAACTTTTCTAGCCACATGATATCATTTTGTTTTTTTGTTTGTTCTCTAACGACCAAATCTGCAATATTCAAGCTACATGTCCTCTACTAGATCTAGTGACCGACATGATGAACATCGATATACGCAAATAGATTTCTTTGACATGTATCAACCAATACAAGAGTTATCAGAAGATGACATATGCCCCCGGCCCCCATATATTTAAAAGAACAAATCATCTGACAGTTACTTAAGTCCAGCTTGATTTTTTTAGACTAAGTTCAAATCGTTCCCATGGAGTCATGAAATATATAAATAACAAAAATCTGTCTCACATATCTGCCAAGTTTAGCTGAAACTTTTGAGTTGTGCTCTGGAAACGAAGCCCACACCTCCCTTTTGAGACTAAGTTTAAATTGTTTCCATGGAAACCGAGAAAAATAAAAATGCCAAAAATCTGTAAACAGCAAAAGGCACCACTTCAAGATCTGCCTCACATATCTGCCAAGTTTTGCTGAAAGATATTAAGAAGTTTTTGAGTTGTGCTCCGGAAACGAAAGCCCTACCCTCCCTTTTGAGACTAATTCCGAGTCGTTTCCATGGAAACCGAGAAAATAATAAATTACAAAAGTCTGTAAATAGCAAAAGGCACCACTTCAAGATCTGTCTCATATATCTGCCAAGTTCTGTTAAAAGATATTGAACGGTTTTCGAGTTGTGCACCGGAAACGAAGCCCACCCCTCACTTTTGAGATTAAGTTTCTCGTTTCCATGGAAACCGGGAAAAATAAAAATGCCACAAATCTGCAAACACCCAAAGGCACCACTTTGGGATCTGCCTCACATATCTTCCAAGTTTTGCTGAAAAATATTATAATAAGAAGTTTTCGAGTTGTGCTCGGAAACAAAACCTACCCCTCCCCTTTCAGACTAAGTCCGAATCGCTTCCATGGAAACCGAGAAAAATAAAAATGCCAAAAATCTGTAAACAGCACAAGGCACCACCTTAAGTTCTGTTTGATATATCTACCAATTTTTGCAGAAAAATATTGAACGGTTTTTTAGTTATGCTCTGGAAACGAAGCCCACCCCTCCCTTTAAGACTAAGTCCAAAACGTTTCCATGGAAACCGAGAAAAAAAAAATGACAAAAATCTGTAAACAGAAAAAGACACCAGATGGAATGAATGAATAATTAGTGAGAATATAATATAGTTAATATATGGCCATATGCTGTGTGTTCTGTTTGAATGAGTGCATGATTCGTTTGAATGGTTTTAGTGAGTGAGTTTAGTTTTACGCCGCTTTGTGCAATATTCCAGCAATATCACGGCGGGGGACACCAACAATGGGCTTCACACATTGTGCCCATGTGGGGAATCGAACCCGGATCTTCAGCGTGAACGCTGTAACCACTAGGCTACCCACCGCCCCTTGATTGCTTTTAGCTAATGTATAATAGGTATATGTTTTTTGTCGGAGTAGGATTGGTGTGTGGAAAATAGTATGACAGATTATGAATCAGTAATATATGGGGATGTATGACAAACTGAAAGGATTTGTTTTATTTATATACTTATTTATTCAAATATTTATTTAACTTAGTAACTAAACTAACTAACCAGCTTACCAACCAAGCAACCAGTCAACAAACTAACCAACTAACCCACTAACCAACTAACCCACTCTCTCACTAACTCACTCACTTTACCAGGAATGAATGAAGGCTTTGAACAGATGACAGATGTAAGAATGCCAGTATGAATGTATCTTGACTTTCTCGCTTTATTTTTTTAATTTGAAAGGTAATGGCACATTTACTGAATAGTATAATTTTGACGAATCAGCATATTTTACTTCAGTACATAAGAAAAAGAACTATAATAGGCTTTTGTACATGAAAATCTGCAAGCTTTTAAGCTATTGGTGAGTAATCTAGGCCTCCCAAAAGCATGAATGTATGAAGCATGTACAGTGGCTCTATACTTAGCATTTTTCTTCAAAACATCCAGTTTATAGGAAGGTACGTGCTAGTTCAGCAGGTTGATATTGCAAATCTCGCTGTTATTTTTGTCTAATAATGAAACTAACCTAACTACCTCTTGAATACTTAGATAATAATTTCTTGTGGAATATTCAATGATTAGTTGATTTCTTTTGGTAAATGTACAAAATTGTTTCCTGTCCAAATTTGAAAAATATGAATTTTTGATAAATTACAAAGTTTAATAAAAACAAAATTATACTTTACGAACTTTATATATATGGATATAACAATTGGATAATTGTATTTAGCAAGGTAATAGCAATTGCAACATCAAACGTTTGCTGTTCTGAGATAATACCCGTTACCCTGACAACAGTTGCTATGGAGCTGTACTCAACAACTCTACAAAAATATAATTGAAGTGGAAGTTATATGTCTTCTTTCAATACAAAGTAAAATAATTCTGACAGCATGAATGGTTTTTAAAACATTGTCAACTGAAAAATAGCACAATGATTCATACATTTTCACATGCGATTCTGGGTCAATTTCGTAGAATTCTATTTAACGGCTAATTAATGAAAAATTTTGAGAGCAGAAACATTTCTGAGTGACATGACTATTTACAAGGCCCAATAAACAGAATGACAAAATTTCAAGTGAATATATATTTTGGACTTATCCACCTCTGGATGGAGTGGAGTGGAGTGCTACTATTCACTATCTGTTTTGTAGCCCCACTGCAGTCGGCAGTTATGGAATCTGTGAAAAAAGGAGCAGGAGAAAAAGAGGAGACGGTGACACTGAACATCTGCCCGAAGTGTCTGAATGATCGAACAAACGGTCAAGTAGATATCACCGGAATGATGGTGTGTAAGACAGGAGCAAGCTGTGGACAAAGCAGTGAGTATACTGTTGATGGAAAAAAAACCTTTCAAATCTCTTTATTTGCACGTTAACGTATCACTTAAATGAGTGAAATATTCACGTGTTCGTATCCCCTATTTAACGTTGTAATAGTGTGTTTGCTATGTCGCTAACAATTTGCTTTGTTTTATTGTTGTTTAATGCCGCAATCAGCAATAATCCAGCTTTCTGGAGGGTGCTAGCAATTTTCACTTTTTCGGAAATTGTCAGTGTGAATAAAAAGATTACAACAGCAAATGTTAATGTCCGGTTCTCTTGATGTAGAAATAATATATATATGCCGTTGCTGTCTGAATACTTGGTACTAATCGTACAGGAAAACGTCGCGCAACAACCTCTGCTGCGGACTATAACGAAATTGCTAACTGGAATAAGGCCAGTGCAAATAGTTTCAACGTGGAGTACAGGGCAACAAAACAGGATTGGCTTGTTGGAAATGTTGGTGAGTATTGGTGACATCCTTACTGCAACAGCTGACACGTGGTTACAATATTTCTGTCCTGGAAGGTTTTAAATGTAGATATACCAAAGTTCCATTTATGACTGCCAGCAAGCGACTATTCGTGTCTTACAACTTGAATCAAGAAACTCGAGAAGTACATGAAACTTAAATTCCAAATTACTACAGGATAAAAAGTATAATTAAAGTATCTTCGTTTCTAAACTAACCGAAATTAATAAATGCTCCTGGGATGTTTTTTTCCTGTTGACATATACAGCCGCCTTCTGCAATTATGCGAAAATTGCTTTCTCCAAGGCCAACAAATGTCCGTGCAACTGCAGACCTTTTCGGGAACGCTTAGTGTTATTGACCTCGCTAGGTGATCATTTTCCCCAAAATTTCATAAATATTGGTGTTTAGGCTCAGTGACTGATTTGGCTGATGCATTGATATATGATGCTAATGATTATAATTTTATTGACAGGTAAACAAACTTTGACCTTTACGCTAGGGGAGGAAGATTGCAGTGGAAACCTGCCAGGCGTTTTCTGTAATGGGAAACTCCCAGCAGGAGAAACATTTATGTAAGTTGTTGATGACACCGACAATCTGATATTCGTGTTAAGAATATTTACAATACTAAGCATTTCAGAACACTTGCTCATGAGTAATACATCTTTAGGCTGCATATAGATCCATATTCTAGATTCGGTAAAGTAGTGACTTGTTACTTGCTCTGATGGCAGGGTCACCACTTTCACATGTTTTTCAAACACCAGTGACGAATGTTGTGAAATCATGCCCTGGCAAGCCACAAACATGAAGAGTCCGTCGTACAATACAAGGCCGACTCGTCAGCCGATCTACATCAAAACCGCTGTCATACTCCAGGGTCGTACCATTGGCA